ACCACTGGGTTTCTTCCTTCTCAGCGGTCAGAGAACAGTTTTTTCCAAAACAGTGTTGGGATTTTGGTATTTTTGGGGGATTTTGCTGCATCACAATGAGACTGTTTAGTATTAGTGTGTCTGTGAGAGTGTTTGTGAGTAACTGATGGGGGGAGGGGGGCTGTTATGCATACACCTGGACTTACAAACGGGGGCAAAGTTGCTTTTCCTTTCACTCAAAACAGGGACTTAGGTCTCCAGTTTCTGCAGCCAGGTGATGAGTGGACATCACAGCAGACTAAATAGTTCCTTCCTTGCCTGCTTTAAGTCCTATGCAGTGATGCCTTGAGAGGCTAGCCTAGAACAGAAACTAGACAGACTTAAAATAATAAAGTAGGTATTTATTAAAAGGCCTTAAAGGATACACCTTGGCCAGTACAAGAGCCAGGCCAGAGCTACACCCAAGATGGACCCAAAATGGATGACTGGTCACAAGGTTTCACACTTTTATAAGTTTTTGGTCTATTTATATATTGGGGTTAATTGTCCAATTACAGCTTCAGGTTATGAAGTTCCATCCTCCCTGTCTGCTCTCTTCAGTTCCCCACTTTTTGGGTCTGAAGCTTCTAACAGTTGTCCTTGGTTTCAAACTGGAAAAGGATTGTTTTTTCTACCTACTCTGTGAAGAGAACTTAGTAGCACTTAATATGAAGCTCAGAGCTACACACCTAGGCAGAATCTCAAAAATATGAAAGCTAAAACTTAAGGCATGAGCAGGACTTAAAATTATTTTATCTGTAAGAAAAGGAATGGTTTCCCCTAAAGAGTGCATTTGTTCTGTCCCTCCCTCTGACCAGAAATTCAGTCTAAGACCTGAAACCTTGTTGCTGAAAGTTAGTCAAAGGAATCCTGCATTAAATGTTTACGAAAGGAAACCAGTATGCCCTATGATGAAGCATTTTTTAAGAGTAAAACACTACACACAAAAAACTTCCAGCTTCCGTGAAAAATTCAATTCACGTTGTAGTTACTGTTTTATTGTTTATTTAAATGTATTTATTTAACTTTGGTTGCCATCCATTGCTGCCTGAATTTTGAAAATTGACCTCAGCACCAGAAAGCAGAAAAATGAGAAGATGGACTAGAAATAAAAGGTGACTGCAATCAGACAACATAGTTAGACAGACTTTTGCATTTGGTCTATCAAAATGGAAACCAAACTGGTGACAGGGGAAGACTGCAGATATAAGTCCCAAGCATTTTCTGTTACTATGCTCCTGAACTGTGTATAACTTCCCTAGTTTCCAAAGAGTTCTCCAAACCTCAAGTGTGTAAAGCTCCTTAGCTTGTGTGTATTTTACTCTGAACCCTAAAACACCATGTGTGGTACAGATCCCTAGAGTTTTGCCATGAACTTCAACAGGAGTCAGCTGAATGCTACTCATCTGGGTCCAATCCTACTTTGTTACAGTAACAAGTATTAATATTTCCTCACATACAGCTGAATATATCCAATGAGAAGGCACAATTCCAACTCTCAGGAGTTTATGGCCTAATCTGCAAGAACTCAGCCAGTCTGTGATACTAATGGTAGAAATCACCTTGTCAAACTTTAAGCTATTTAAAATTTGGGCATGATGTCTCAGTAGGTTGCTGTTAAGGCTTCTGTTTTCAGTGAAGAGGCCTGCATCCACTTCATCCTTGGAGCTATTATTAGGAAATTCTCCCCTGGGAAACTTGTATTTCTCTGCCAACCATTGGTAGCCTAAATGACACAGCAAGACCACATGGTGAAATTTAGATGAGGTGAATCCTGGCCAAAGTGACTGCTCAGAGTCCAGGTGCCCGTTTGATTGAAAGCGGTAAAGAGGAAGCGTTTAATTTCAATGTTCACACAGCAAAGTTCTGGAATGCTTTTATCCTAATGGACTCCTTGCAGTGGGGTGGCACTGCACTTAACGTTTTCAGACTGATAATTGCATTCCAGTTTTGATGAAAAGGTTTCTTTGTTAAGTTGGATTTAAAATTTGGTGTAAAAAGCAAGCACCAGAGCAACCCAATTTAACAATTTAGAAGTCAGCCCTGCTTGAAGCAGCAGTTTGGACTGGATGACCTCCAGAAGTCCTTTTCAATCCAAATTCTTTTACAGTTCTCTATACATGTACATCTGTGGTACTAAACCTCCAGCTCCTGGTCTGCTTTTCCTTCCAAATTTATGCGTTACACAAAGTGTGACAAGTACCTCTTCAGAACTCCCTTGTGAATAATGCATGTTAAGAATCCCATGGAGTTTCACAGAATGACATCCCTACGTCAATTTTTAAACTCTTTGCACCCGTCACTTCAAAAAATAGCTGAAGTGTTACTTGAAATTTCCTAAACTAGTTGACTTTTTCTTTCTTACTTTCCAGCAAGTCGCTGAGACCTGTGAAGCAACAGATGCTACAGAACCAAGACCCCAGCGGGAGGCGGGTCCGGCCCATGCACTATTCATGAGTCAGAACCTGGAGTGCAGGAGGGCCAGCCAAGAAGATATGGCCCTGGAAGACACCGCTTCTCAGCAGAGTCTGTCTGAGGAGCAGTAAGGAGCATTCCTAGCACAAGGGCCATATGCTTCTTAGCATTAAATACAGACAGAGTTAGGTCAGGAAGCTGCACATGGGTTTAGGTTCTTTCAAATGTAATAAGCAACCTTCAAATGTTTATTTTTCTAACTTCCACACAAGAATTTTACAGGACAGATGTTCTTCAGCTAATGGCCTTGGCATGGGTAGGGTTGGAAGATACCCTAAAAAAATACACAGTGCCACTTCATCTCAGGTTCTTGTAAATCCTAGAACAATGAATACAACAATGAATACAATGTTTAACGTTCCTTCCCCTGGAATGGTTAGAATCACAAAAAATACAGTAGGAAATATTAATACAACTCAGTGAAAAGCACACAAAAGACATCTCTTTCCTGCCACAACTAAACAGCTGATTGCATGCAAACTAATTGAAATTTGGTATATAGCAAGAGGCAACTAAGAACAGAAGCAATGAACACATAAAAGGACAGTACAGTGTCCTGTAACATTAGAGCTAAATCTGATTTTTTTTTCCAACAGCAAATCTCATTTTTCTTTGATGTGTTATGCAGGTGCTAATGCTGAATAGCAACACAGCATCTCAGACTGATATACTGCATGCAGCCATACTGAAATACTGTGTAAACAAACCATGCTACACCAATTAACAAAAGTCAAGTGTAAGAAGAGAAAGTATCCAGTGCATGGAAAGTCTTCAGAGCATATGGTGCACCTTATTTGCAAAGCAGCTTTGCATAAATTAGGTATTATCTTGTGCTCCTGTTTGGTTTACAGTAGTGTTTCTCAAATTCTAAGCAACAGTATTAGGAGTCGCAAAAGAGCCACGGGGAATCCTCCTCAAGGACAGAAAAATACAAAGCAGGCTGCAATTACTGTCTGGGAAGTGTTTGTGTTAGGAAGGGAACAGCTAAATACCTTTAATTGCTGGACACAACTCACTGTCCATAAACGCTTGTAGCCAGTAATTAGAAAGCCTTCTGATTTCCCTCCCCCAGAGAAAACTGAGCTGCTGCCAATAAAGACAGATGATACAAAAAGGGAGGCCATGCCTTCACAAGGTTTGAGAAGTGCCAATTTACAGGAATGCATGACTACTTTGAAACCCAAACGGCTACAACAAATCCTTCTTCTACTATAGTCTAAACAAACACGTGTGTGATTTTTTTTCAATTAAAAAGAATTGCAGCTATCAGTGTCTTGCTGTTCCTCTTTACTGTAACTACCATAGATAGTTTCTAAATCTCAACACAATGATGTGCAACCAGGCTGTCTTGTCCCAATTAACAAGATTTAACAAGAGATGCTGTACCTAAGTCTCATTACTGTTAGGCAATACTCAGTTGCATTCTGAGCTTCCTACTGTGCCACACTTCAGATCTCAGTAGTAGAACTAAGTAAGACTGAGTGAAAATAAACTGATCCAAGTATATTTTGTGCGGCAGCTGTTTCTGGGTCTTCTGTTTGCAATTCTTTTCACTTGCTTTCTGCCTTACAAAATCAAGAAACCTCTTTTTTACTTCACGTCAGATCTTGATGAGCTATTAATAAAGCTTAGCACAATATAGGAAAGATTCTGCTCATGTTTATAAAGACAAAAGCAAAGTGTTCATATACAGCCCTCTAGACACATGGTCATCAATGCAGTTCAGGCCCTACTAATGTCTCCTCTAGCATCCAGGTGAGATGTGGAAGAGGAAATTGAATTCAGCTGCTCCTTTCTGACCAGTTCTGGCAGATGATGACTCTTGTCCCACCACTGTCCATGAAGTGCTTCATTACAAATGAAGGATTGAGGTTATAGAGGTAGGCTCCTACTGACAGCTACTGGCCCCATTTCTGCCTTGGGGACTTTTGTATGGCAGTCCACAGAATAAAACATCACTGCTTTGTCTTCCTGCATGGAGGCAGGGCAAACAGGTGGCTCTGGAAAGCACCAAGAATTTTCCCATATTCACCTAGCATCACTTGGCCTCCAATTTTCACATATTTAAGTTTGAATCAATTTCCATCAAAAATAAATAATTCTAGTAGTCCCAATCAACCTAAATTATTCTGTGTATCCAACTCAAGCATACTAAACTACACTGGGGAATGACTGCATAAATTCTTTCAGCAGCAACCACTGTATTTGCTTAGCACAGATTGAGGCCCATTGACAGCACCTTCTCCCAGCACCACATCTTCTGCAAGATTCCACCACCTCCACAGCCACTAGTACTGCATCCTAAAATAATGCAGCTGCCTCACAGTTCCTGATTTCCCACTGTCTCCTGGAGCATAATTCCTTGGGGACAGCAGTTATGCCATGAAGTCCAGACTCCTGCTGCACAGGGTGGCTGCCAGAAAGGGCAGGTACTAACGCCTTCGTGGAGTCAACAGCGAGCAAACACAGCAAAACAGGAGTCAAGGTAAGATTCAAACATCAGTTCCTTTTTTGTAGCCATGACTTACAGTTTTTATTTTGTCTTAAAGTTGCTATTGTAGCATAGTGGGTTGAAGAAACCCAAGAGTGACCGCTAACAAGCACACGTAACATAGGAAGAATCAAAATGGGCACAAACTCTCCCATGTAACATTTCTCCCTATTTTTGGAGATAGTCTGCTGTAACAGTAATAAGACTACTGCTATATACATCATTTTTAAATATGAGACAGTTCCACAGAATAATCTGACATAATGGTTAGAAATGAAACCTGCAACTAGCCATGAGGTTGTATTGATTAAACACATCTTAGACGCCCCCATTTTTGCATGAGACAGAGATACACCCAGTGAACTCTGCTTGGGACAGAAGGTGCATTTAAGGGCTCCAATGCACACTAAGCTAATTAATAGGAACCTAACCTGTACACAAAACCTTAATTTTGACATAAGCTGCTCCAAACAGCTCTGCATAACACCAAAAGGCACCCGAGTCCTCAGCACCAGTGCCTACATCCACATGAAGGCTTTGAGTGACACCTTTACTCCTGAAAAACAGCTTGATATGTGAGGTGCTTCAGAGTTGCAAGAGGAAGTACACCATTTTTCGAGCAGGTTTTGGCCTTTAATGAAAAGCAAATGTGATTTTCATTGCTTTTATGTCATCTGTGACCCTGCTGATGGGTGCTGAACACTGTTAAAACTTGGTCCTAACCTGCTCAGGCTTAACAGTTTGCCTACATGTCTCATCTCTTGCTACAGCTGTGATGCAGGAAGGATACTGCCATCACATTTTACCAAGAGTTCCATCAAGGTTTTTTGCATCAGGTGCTACACTTAGTTTTTCCAGAGCTGCAGAGGCCACTTACCTCACTCAGCCAGTCCAGAATGTTTTTGTTTCTACAACATGAAAATAGTGATGTTCTCATCTTGTTAGCAAGCTGAATGCATCCTTTGAGGAAATCAAGTGCTCAATCCACAAGACCATTTGTACATGCAGTTCTTTCATAGAATAGTCAGAAGGGATGAAGAGATGGAGGCCTTTTCTGCCATCCCCCAGCTTAACCTCAGCTTAACACCACCACTGCTGAAAAGAAACACTAAGAGTGATTTTATTCACACTGCCTCAGCAACCAGAGAGGAACATGAACAATACAACAGGTTACAGGAGGGAGGATAATGAGTTCATAGTAAAACAAACAAAAATGCAGTACTTCAGCCTTTGCACTGAGCATGGGATACTTACCTCCACATTTTGCTTTCCTAAAATTTCCTTTCCCAAATGGACTCTTGTTTACATCATATAGTAAAAGCCAGTTACTATACTTGTAATAGTGAAACCATGGCCTGAAGATCTGACAGAAAGACTTTCAGTAACTTTCTACTAAAGACAAGCACAGGCTACTGAACTGCTCACATCCACCAGGAACTGGCAAGCCCCAGCCTGACCTTCAGCCCAGCTGTTTCCCACCACAGCAAGCAAGTAGGAACCAGTGATGGATGTAGTCTGCAAAGTTCATTTCTGTTAGTCCAAAAATAAAATTCAGAGGAACTCACTGTTCCCTCCATTTTGTAGTGTCATGCAACTACTCTGTGAGGAACTGAAGTCTTTGTTGCAAAGTCTCACCTCATTCCCATAGGCAGAAAATGTTGGTATTCACTTCACTGAAGACAACTGTCAATGAAAAGGACTTACAGTGAATCTTCTTCCCTTGACATGATGCCTAGATAATATCTATGAATGACATTCTGACACTATTAAGTTCTTAGGACTCTCTGTGATGTCATTCACAGCTTTTTATAAATACTGCTTATTAGAATAAGGCAAGAAATGTCACCTGCATTTCTCTCTAGCCCACCAACTGATGGCTCTTCTCTTACTGGAAAATTTAAGTTAAAGATTAGCTGAATTTTGTGCAGCTCATTATAGAAGATTAGAAATACCAGTGAGATTCTCCAGCACGTGATAATCATCTTCTCTTCAATGCATTTTTTTAAAATACCCAATTATTGCCATATTACATTACTCCCTGGATTAGGAGCTGGTACTTAATTACCAAGTTTCACTAGTGCTTCTACATCCTTAAATCTGCAATGCAGACATATTACTTATAATTAACTTCGCAGTAGGTCCAGTATCAAAGATTCACCTCTCTCAGTTTTACACATCAAAAATTGTCTAATGCATGATAAATAATGCAGACCTTGTTTATTCCATGCTCTGTGCAATTTTATGCTGGAATTACAAGACTTGTGCCAAAGACATCCTTGATTCTCAGGCTCTGAGACAGTAATTGGTACCTCACATTCACCCCTTTTTTGCAACAATTAAAACCTGCAGGTGCACTAATGTTGTCATCTGGAATCTAGCTGGTACATCAGAGGTGCTTTTCACCAAATGTGTGCTATTAATAAAATTGGCCCATCAGGGGAATTGTGAATGCTCCATTTGCTGTTACAATGCTTTAAAGGCCTTCCAAGTATTTTACTAGTGCAAGACCAGACAACAAACTTTTACCTTTAAAGTAAACACAGGTTGTCACAAAAACTTACATGCGATTGGAAATCTAACTTTCTCACTCACTCGATGTATATTTGCAACAGGCAAATCGTATCTTCAGGACCATCTGAGATTTAAAGGCCAGACATGACTGTTAAGGTCATCTACATTCTCCTGCTGAACACAGATGACAGAATCTCTATTTCTCTTGAAAAGCACTCTAGATCAGAGAGAAAAGGGGCTTAAAAAAGGATAACAAATTAATGACACTCACCAGTCTTGAGATAGGTAGCAAAAAACAAGAGACACTGATGACATTAGCAAAAATATGCATTAGTTTAAGAGGGCTGATATTTCACTCACAGTTCCAGAGAAGGAAAAATCCACCTGCATTTTCTAGTGACTATCTAGTCTCAGTACAAAACCATGAGACAATGGATTTAAAGTACTATAGGCACTGATCAAAAGTTCCCCAAACTTCTTGTTGTAATTGTTGGGTTTTTTTCCTCTGCACTCTACTGAATGATGGGACTACAGTAGGCATCATGGCACTACATGCAAGAAATATATCTACTTTTTTCAAATGGGGAGTAAACACACTTAAAGTGATCTCACAGCAATACTGGCTAAACCAGAATTCAGAAGACTGACTCCTAACAGAATTCCTCTCTTTGGCCTCTACCAGAGAAATGTCAAATCTCTCCATTTTTTATTTAGCTTTAAATATCACTTCTCGTTTAAGACTCAACAACAGTCCCACTAAAACTGTGCTAGATTTTGGAGAGCTCTTTAATCATTGAAAGAACTATTCTTTTGCAGCATATTTTACAGCTTAAGAGACTTAACATTGAAACAGGAGAGCATCCAACACTTAGGTGCAGAGAGGTTTCTGTCCAAAAACCTATGGCACACAGCCCTGACAAAGTTTACTTTGGTCCCAAGTCCTCCACATCTAAAATGGCATTTTGTCTGAGTAGAATGCCTGAAGTAATTAAGGGATTAGTGTGTCTTTAGAGCACAACCTTATTTTGCAAATAGCAGCCGGAGCTGTACATTGCCAAGTAGAGACCCTAAGAGGAGTTTTCTTTTTCCCCAAATGTGAGGAAGACAGCAGTACCATCTAAATGGATTTGGGTAGACAGGTAGTCCTAACAAGGCAGTGAGGCAATGAGCCCATGGCATCCTTTAACATGGCATGCACCTCCTACCACCTGTGGAGGTGCAATGCTTCTGCCAGACCCTTGTTCTGCATATAGGAAAGAAAAAAACATTCCCTCTATGCTCCTAGGTGTTCGCAGGGCATGTGTAAAAATACCTGTCCCCATCCAGCCCTATACAACTCCAGGTGTCAGTTTTACAGAAATAAATCAATAAAATGATACTTGAAGATGCCTTTAAATAGTTTGCTCATTTTAACAGTCATTGAACTGAACGGGAAAAAAAGTTAAGAAACAACTGAATTTTTAACAACTTTCTTCAGCCAGAGATGACCATAAATTTTACAATGAGCAGTGTGCACCTGGGAGGGAATTCTGTTTTCACAACATGCAAAACTGATTAACTGGCAGCATTTCTGTTGAACATTTTGAACATCTGCACTCCTCACAGGGAAACACATTGTCTAATACTCTCAAACACTTCTTATTTCACCATTAAGCATGTACAGAATTGAATAAGGCAGAAAAACCCAAATATAAATATCAATAAACATAACAGATTGTAAAATTAATATAGACAAATGCAGTATTAAGTCAATCATGACTTAACAAACGCAGCATGAAAAACACAAGATTTTATTAACTTCATGGAATCAAAGATTTTTATACATATTTTTTGTAAGGGGGTGTGGGACAGGACTGCCACCAGAAAATTGAAAATTAATTCAAAATGCAGTCCTCTTATAAATTTTTGTCTGGGTCATGTAAAAGAGGGTAGATTTGGCTATTTTTCCTCCCAAAATTGAATTCTGTAAATGTCACTCATGACTACAGGAAGTTTTCCTGAAACTCTGGATAACCCTTCTTATACCGCAACTGCAGACAGGTCTGCCTGGGGGTAGGAGGAGAGAGTCCATCTGCTTATTCCCTCTACCTGCTCATTTGTCAGCACCCATGCTAAAACACACTTGAATACACCTAAGCTGGGTCACCAACAGCTATACTACTACATAACCAGGCAGGATTCATCTACATTTTGGACAGGGTTCTGTTCTGTTGCACCAGGGCTATGTTGCAGATATTGAATTGATCTGAACACACTCAGAAAGACTGAGATCTCCAACAGATTTTACAGTTATTTGTTTTCACAAGAGATAACTTGGATCAGAGTTGACCACCTAACTTCCAAACACCCGGATTAGAACTGGATGTTAGCTACACATCTGTTCAATTTTCTAAATTCAGTGAACTGAATAAATTACAATCCTGCTATCCCATTTTAGAACATTACCAGCTTTACCCTGCTTACCCTGGTGGCTCCAGTAAAGCCTCCAGGGGGCTAAAGCAGGAAGGACAGACTCTAAACCATCCACGAAATTTGTAATGTTTTGTTGAAATGAAAGCTTTAGTGTTTACAGGACAGAAAAGGTCTTCATTTTCTGCAGGATTCCACAGCTGCCAAGATGTCTTGCAAAATGCTGTTTCTGTTTTCCTTACTAACCTAGAGAAAGAGAAATTAAAACTGATGTAATTTCATTAATAGCTTCTATACCAGTGTTTACTTCAAAAACAAATCAAAGCAAAAATTCTAATGCATTTCTTTTTCAGTGCAGGAATGTTGAGTGTCAAACACCTGCCTTCTTCTGCTACTGAGAACACAGTATGCTAAACCCACAAAAGCTACAGTTGAATATTTAGTGATCTTTTGATTTAATTGCCTGTGGTATTTTGCAGTATTATTCAACGTTTGGGTAACTAATAAGAATCACTCAAAGAACCAGCATGTATTTTTGTCATTATTAGAAATCCTTTTCAACTACCAAATTTAACTTTCCTAATATAAAGTGGAGTGCTTATGCCTTCACTACTTGAAAGGGGTGTATTTATTAAGATAACAGACCTAGTCAAAAACATCTGCGAAGCAAAAAAAATTAAAACAGGCTTAGCAGCATAACTCTGTACTCTGAGAAACCTTATTCATACAGGAAAGAAACACCTTGGAAAATAAACAAAACTATTTGAGAAAGCTGGGGTGTTCTGTAGCACACTGAGATATGCCTTTGGCTGACCAGTCCATGGGAATGCTGGGCTTTAAGTCCAGCATATGTGAATACAGATGACTGTAAACTGCCAAGCAAGTGCTAGTGCTTGCTAGTCAGCTCCGCTCCCAGGGGCACAGAGCTGGGGGCTGTGTGTGTGTAAATTATCCCTTCCTGACAGACTGGGTCCTGATCCAGAGCCCTGTGACCCACAGTACCATACATTACTCACTCAAACAAAACTTGGGGAGGTGACTGGGGTTGTAAAGGGGTAACAAGCAACTGTGAAGCATCAGCAAAAGCTTCATTTTAAAAGGTCTAAGAAAATTTGCCCACTGTTCAGATCCCTGCAGAGAGGGCAGGAAGAAATCAGACAAAGACACATGAGCAGAAAAAATAAGTAAAAAATAAGTAAGGGCATTCATACAAAGTTGTAGAAAAGCTGTTTGATGAGGAAAGAGACACAACACCATGTACAGCATAAAACCAGCAAGGTATCTGCATTTAGGATGTGAGCACAAGAGTTTGTATCCCTTCCAGTACTACAGTCAATAATGAACAGGAGAAAGTATTACTATTATTATTGTTGTTGCTAAATAGGTGACAGTTCTATCTGAGGAACTTGGCCCTAGGAGCTACCACTATTTACAGTCACACACATCCTATCCAAGTGCTGTAAACCAACACTGTAAAACCTACAGACAGTGGTCTCACCTACCACTGAACTCAAGACAGCAGATCAACATGGGACTAATGAAAAAGTGACACTGAAAAAAAAAATGTGGGGGTGGGGGGGAAGAGGGAAGAGTAATGAAAAGGAAGATCTGTCTGAAAATGTCACTGTTTTTACTGAGAGTCAGTCCAAGCTTTGTAAGAAAACCCCACAAAAACAAAGAGAGCAAGACAACAAAGAATGCTCTTCAGTAAGGCTATTGGGACCCCGAGGTAAACAATACACAGCACAGATGAGCCAAACTCTAAATCTCACAGCAAGTGTACTGATATCCTGACTTTCAAAGGACCTCCTGCACATTTAATAGCTCTTCCCACTCCCTCCCAGCCAACAAAAACAATACTACATTTTATCTATCCTTTTTCCATACCTATATGCCAGAAGTCCAGTGAGAGCAGCAGAGAGAAAGTGCCAAGTGCTAGGAAATTTTCACAACTGTTTTACAAAGGCTGTTTGATAGATATAAGTCTCCTCTTAAGATCTGGAAACATTCTGTGCAGGCAGCTTTCCCAGAGAGAACAAATTTCCCAGTAACTGTACTGAATGTACAAACAGATGGGTATGTTTTTAGAAAGGAGTTGAAAATAACTGTAGATGCTGCTTATATTAAGCATTTATGTAATTTGGAGGAAATTGCCACCTAGACTCCAAGTAGGCAACTATAGAGGACAAAAGCTTTCTTCCTCTAAATGTTAAAAACACCATCAAGGAAACCACTCATGTACAATCTGTTCAAATGGAACTTTTCTTCTCCCTATCCATTTCACTATTTTCTTTCTTAATAGCCATATGCAACCATACTTCACTAACAGGTTTCATGCAAGCAAAATTAATAGATGGGAAAATGGAAGAAAAATTAGTATCTGCCAGCTGCTGAGGATAACCTGATCCTATTCACGCCACCATGTCTGCAAAACTACACAGACACAGGCAGTGCAAAAAGAGCCTCTGTAGTTTCACTGGAAAGTTTAGTTCTCAGCAAAATGGAACTGGGTAACAATAGAAACAAATGTGTTAAATATCAGAGCTCCTATCGTTAAGTGCCCTAAACATAATAAATTAAACATTTGGGACCAAATGCTTTTAGGGCATCTGGGCCCACTTACACCAACAAAATATGCTTTCAAGACAGAAGGGATTGTAAAACACCAAACAGCCATTCTCTTATCAGAACTGTCCTTGTGACACTAGGAGCAGGATGAAAAAACTGAGATGAGCTATTTGAATGCAGCCTAACTCCATATTAAGTGACAAAGCAGACAGAATGATTTTGGAAGTTAGCCACCTATTTTTGTATACTTCCAGGCACCATCCAAGTTAGTAAGAAATTATGACTATGAGCTATTTAGACACTCCAGGTTTCCCCATGCCACAGCCCTTGATAAAAACAGCTGGTGACCCAGTATTCACTTCAGCTACTAGCACCTCTGACACCCCACGGGCAGGTTCTGCTCCTGCTCATGCACACATTTGAACCAGCTGGGAAAGAGCATGTAGTGTGTCACTGGAGCAAGAGACAGATGCTCTCCTGCACAAGACTTCAGCTTAGCAGGTCTGTGACACCTGGGAATGACTGAAGTCTGTCACACATTTCACATCCATGTTTTTGGTTAATGGATTCACCAAAGATGTCTATTCGATTAAAGAAATCTGCATGTCCTAATGTCAGCAGCATGAACAGGATGAGTCATTGTTTTAGTAAAGATCTTTTAGCTAGATAAAACACTACTCCATTGAAATTTACAGGAAGACTTTTGTTGACTGGAGTCAGTACTCGAGAGAAAGATTTATCAGCAGAGTGATGCAGCTGAAAACCCAGGGCTGAGCAGCCCATGCCCTCTGAATATCACCTGATAAAAAAAAAGACAGTAGAAGCCTCAAAAGCTTCCTTGAAAAGCCCAATGCTGTCTTCTAGCCCCGTTTCCTCTCATGAGAGGAGCGAATGTATGCACCATGTCCTGCCATGACTGCAGCCTAAGCACTGAATGACTGGTACTTTCAGAAAGGCTTCTCCATCCTCTCTTCCCTGTAAAGCTGCTCATACAAAATTCATATTTATGTGCATTTCTGTTCAACAGCCTGACTACAAACACACATCAGCTCGGCAGTGGAAAAACCTGGGGGTTTATCTCTGAAAGGAATGAAGGGAGTTGAATGCTTATGCAAGGAAAGGAACAATTTCTCATCTTTGTTCTTACAGTTGCTTTAGCATTTAATTAAATCAGAAACTTTATAAAGCATTTATAAAACCAGAAACTGAAGATGACAATGGGACCCTCAATTAAAGCTGAGGAACTCTGAGCACTGCAAATTTTTAAGCCAGCTTTGAATAGGAAACAACATAAATCAAAGGAGTGAGAGGTGCCTTTGTTTTTGTGAAGCATCGAGGACACTTACTGATGTTAAGGAAACCTCACACATGCACTCCTAGGAGAAGGCTAAGTTTTGCTGTGGTAAGTTTTTAAAATCGGCACTGTAACTGATCAGAAATGTACCGTGAGGCCCTAATATTCTGAAAATTATGCCTGTAAAAGTAACATAATGAATTCCAAAATTGGTTCACTGACTCAGAGAAAGTACACTCCATTTACAACTGTCTTTCTTCTATAAATCATTCCTGCAAACTCCACTGCTACTTTTTTCCTTTTATTTTCTCCTTGAATATGACTACTGGTAATATTTCTGCAAGCCAGTCTGGAAAAAAAAAAAATAAAAGCTTAAAACTCTGACTGTACCTTAGAAGATTTAACTCTTAGGAATAATGAATACTTATACAGTAATAGTACTGCAGCAAAGAAACCTTTTAAAACAACTACAGCATTACTTCTGCAGCCCCTCACAAGCAAAGCCAGCTGTGTGAGATGGCTACAGTTAGTGCCAAATGGGATTTTTTTTTAATAAGGTGAACACCTGCCCATTAAGAATAAAATGGAAACTAAAAAACTTATTTCATGCAAGCTACCCACAGCTATCAATTGGCAGTAACCGTTTTTAAACAGAGCCAAATATAAACCAGTAACCTAGAACAGAAGGCTCTTTAAGGATATTAAATATTACTCACATTGAACACTTTAACATCTTTTCTACTTCTTATTTCTTCAACAAGATCCAGTGGCTTTCCCTTAGGTATTGGAATAGTTCCAAGCACCACAGTCCCCGAGCCAGCCAGCATTTGACGAACAGCTTGAATAAAAGCCTGGCTGAAGAGTTCCATTTTACCAATCTCATCTATGACACAAATTCTTTTCTCTGTGTCACCACCATGGTTTACCTGTGGAAAAGTGCATCTGTAAACAGCAAAACTTAGAACAAGCAACAGACGTAATCTCTATGCTGACAAAAGAAATACCTCCAAAAGAAACAAATTCAACTGTAATACTGGGGAAAACAGGAAGTCAAAGCTACTGCTGGTAAATGACAGACTTATAAATCTGTCATTTCTTTTTTAGGACAGATTTTTGAAAGGATGGAAACAACCATACAGTATAAATACCAATAGGAAATATCCTTAACATCACCTTTTCTTTAAAGCAGAATTCTCAAAATGGTCTCATAAGAGCCACCTGACAATTAAGAACTGCATTTTGCCTACAAGCAGCTCTCAATCATTCTGAGGGTCAGCAATTTTAAAAAAATTTACTCTTCCCACTGAATTATGCATTTGATTATGTGATCAGTAGTCACACAAAACAGATATCAAAAAAGAAAGCTTCCATTAAATCTAGATTTGGAAGTTTCTCCTCTTGTTGGGATGATGGAACATCTCGCTCAGAGCTACTGGCTCTCTGGATAATAACCAAGCCATTTGCAAACATCTCTCACATTAGAAAGATACATATTGAGATATACCTTATTCTGTAGTCCTAGCCACTGGATAGTAGGAGAGACACAGTTAACAACATTTGAGGCTTCGTTTTTTCCATGAAGTGAATGCTGTGCCAAACAGTACCATGCTGCAGGTGGTTGGAGCAGCAGGGAAGTCCAGGAGAAAACAAGGGTGATTGCTATTGAGGGAAAGGCAGCTCACAAAGCAGAGGAACTCTTCAACTGCACTGCCTACCCATGAATATGTACCAATACAAACCATATTGTACAGAAACTAAAAAAAAATAAAGATCGAAACATATCCCCTTGTAAGGCAAAGTACTTGCTTCTGGGAAAGTGAAAGAACTGTATAACATGCATCCTAAAATCCTTTCAAGCTAACTCCCTATTGAGTAGCTGTTTTATCTAAAAATCCTTTCATAGATCAGTGAGCCAAAAAGCCAATACTAGTCACTAGGTCACATCTTGAGGAAGAGAGTATTTTGCTTTGAAAAAAACTATCTGCCCTGCCTCATAAAAGTTTGAAAAACCAGAGAGATCTTCCACTGCAGGATCTAGCCCATTCTCATTAGAGTGAAAAAAAAGCCTTAAGAGCTGAATCTGTCCTCAAGTATAAATGGGCATGTGCCCATTCTGTGCTGCTCTCTCATCAAACCAGAATATACCTCTGATGCCCCTACCCTCATTCTTTATTTGTCTCTCTTTGTTTCAGCTCTCTCATCTTCTTCACTTTCCTTTTCCATATTGGACCATCTTCATGTGTGACCACACGACCACAAAACTGATAAACAGCACTTTCTGTGAGCATGGGGGGGCACATTCACTGGGTGACTCTGCTAGCCCCAGTTCTTCTCTTCACTTTCTTGCAGTTGCAGAAAGCTATATAAGTAATGGAAAAAATTCAACACTGCTAACACTTTTCTAGGAAGATCTCTCCTGGATTTCAGTGGTAAAAGGATTCCAAGTACAGCACTGGCCTAATGAAGTATTTTAAATAAACTATTTTTCTATTTACTAAATTGTAAATATGGTTACAGTGAAATGTAACATTTAAAGTTGTCCCATTTTTTTATTACTTCCCTTCTCCCTTGCCCCAACATCCTTGCTTTCCTACTCTCAGATTTCAATGTTCTTTGACAAAAACAAAAATCAGATCCTCAATCTCATTTTTGCTCCTTGGACCTCTTTGGGCTCTTTAAGTTCACCAAAAAACTCCTCCTTCCTTGTCCCCTTGAGCTTTGGCAGTGTAGAAAAATCACAACAGGATTTTTTTTAGTAGTACATTTCAGCAGCTGCTGCACACTGTTTGTGGTATGCCATTGCTGAAATCAAATCTGTTCTTGCTGAATTTTGGAAAGGGGAAAGGTTGGAGTGAAAGATAGGAAGGAGAAGGAAAAAAAGGAGATACAAAATATTAGCAAAAGGATAGTGTGGGAAGTCTTGACACAGCCAGAGCACTCCCTGTGTAACAGGCTAAATCCCAAATAATCAGGCTGGTATTATCACTCTGCAGGTACACAGTGGCAATCAAAAATACTTACTGGATTCAAGAAACAAATGCTTCTACTCTCAGAAGACAGGAATCAGAGGAAGAGGGGGGGGAAAAAGTCTGTAAAGAAGAGCAGCAGCTAAAGCTTTTTTCTTCACTGATCCAGTTCTCTGTGGTAAGCCACTTGTGCATTTTGTTTGCTTTCCAGTATGAGACGGAGACATAGGAAGAAATTTCCTAACTGCTGCCTTTTCAGGAGGTCCTCCTCACAGGACTGCAATCTCTCCAACATGACAACAATGACAAGAGAACAAGCCAGATTTGCCCCTCCAGCCTCCTGACCCTGACTTATATCAGAACTAGCAATACCCAAGAAACAGGCCATTAATTAGTATCAAAAACTAGCTGTGTAAAAGGGCCTTCCAATAACACTAACTATCACAAAGCATACATTTATCAGCAGCTTTCATAGAATACTCACATTTCTCAGCATAGGTAGAACCAACTGCTCAAATGAAACAAGGTCTACAACATATTGTCCAACCCGGTATTCACGTCTTGAAACAGAAGACTCAGAACTGGGACTGAAAAAGAGATACACACATCCCTCAAAGTACTGAGCTTAGTGAGAATTCACTGCAGTAATTTCAAATGAATTTATAAGAAGTTATCCAAATAAATCAAATCCCCTTAATTCTTCCTAAGAAGGAAGGGAAAGAAATTCTAAACCATGAAGTAAATCATACTGCAGATAGCCTGCTGTCAGAAAATAAATATACCATATGCATCCTTCACAACTATGCAAGCTCAAATTTAAACAGTGTATAGAGGACAATGGCATTTAAAAGTCAGCATGTATATTTACACTGAAATAAAAATTCATGTCTGCAGTTTAGATCTTTGAATTTTGTTATATGACACCACAGAAAGTATCATAGCAGTATCATCTCAGTATGGGCTGCAAAACCCTTAATCTTGGAAAAATACTCCCTTTGCATGTGCTGTAGTACACTGTGCTAGGTGCACCTTCGTTATTAGCAGAGTGCAAATTATTTTCACATTAACTCTGTGTGAATGAGATGCCAAGGTCACACTGGACATAGACCAAGTTTTGCATTAAGTATGAAAATCTAAGTCTAGTGAATCAGGAGAGAGTGTGAGGCACTCTGCACTTCAGAGGTCCCCTCTGGGCTCTGGAACCCTTTTTTTTCTTAAAATTCAGACGAGTTTTGCGGACCAGTCAAATGCTCTTTAAAACAATGCTATATCCAATTTCCTTCTTCATTTTCCACTTCTGTCTCCATAAATCAGCTAGTGGAAACACAAAAATCTTTCTCCCTGCCCACAATAAGCTACTTAACTGCATCCCAAACGGACTTAGCCTCACAGTAAAAGGCTCAGCAATGTTTCCTCTATCTGGTGTAAAATTGCCAGTAAGGGAGAACACCCCGCCCAGCACATTTTCAATATTTCACTGTTCAACAGACACTGCCTACATATACAATATAGGTATCAGCTAGGACACAAAAACCAAGCAAAGAACTTGACCCTGAAAGCCATGTGTGCTGGAAATCACCTTCTGGAGGAGCATTTAACATGCTCCAGCTCCAAAAGACTGGAGCAGACACATAAAACAATAAGCTGCTTACAGTTATTAAAACTTCAGTACCTGACTCTAGATAAAGGTCCTCGGTTTCCAGACAGAGTGACAACATCAAATCCTGCTCTCCTGCCACCTTCTCTAACTTCCTGTGTGTAAAATCCATCAATGGGAGCACCTGAGGATTTTAGAGCCTGAGTGACTTTCTGGATCAAAGTAGTCTTTCCAACCCCTAAAAATAAAGAATGGAAAAAAGCACACAGCATTAATCTTCTGCACTAAAAACCCATTTTTTAAAATGCCATAGTAATGATTCAGTTCAGCAGGAACATTGATTACTTCTGAAGGTTGCAAATTACTTTTTCTACATGGTAGGAAAGAACAGAAGTATCTTTTAACTTTCATGCTGCACTAATGCTGTAAAGGTTCACAACAGAATGGCACAAATATTCCAGGCTACCAATGCATTTGTTAGCTTAGTTGATGCATGAGCAGGCCACAAAACTTACCACAAGGCAGGTGGCACAAAACTGATATCCAAGCTTGCTGGAAGACTGACTGATGAATCTCCCTTTCTACCACTGATATTCACTACTTATAAGATCAGAGCTAAGTTCACCCCCTTTTTAGATCAAAAGCTGACTGCTATTACCAGATGCTTCTTCCACTGATGTCCTAGAAATCAGAAGCACTTAATGTCCCTGAGACACCAAGTCCTTACAAAGACCCAACAACAGAAAAATGTTTCTTCTGATAACTGAATCAAGAGACATTCTGACTAGATACAGAGAAAAGCTTGTTTACAGTGAGGCCAATGAAGCCATGAACTAGGTTGCCCAGAGAGGCTGTGCAATCTTCAAATACTTTTAATGTTTTCAAGACATGACTGGATAAAACCTGAAGCAACCTGGTTGGGCCTGATAGCTGATTCTCCTTTAAACTTCCTTAAGTCCCTTTTTACATGAATTATCTTCTGACCCTATAATTTCATTTTCTTACCCTAAGACAGGTCCTTACAACTCTCGCCACCTGATATCTCCTTGCACAGTGTAATGCACCTTTTACAATGTGAACACTGGCCATGTTCCAGACATCCTTTCAGTTTTTCTCCTCTGCCACTGTACTTGTACAGTGATCCCAATGATCTCCTTTTAAACTCACCTTTATTGCCTCTCACAAAATTTACTGCTATCACTTCATTTTTAACCACTGTTTTAAAAAATTCAGATGATAGAAAATAATCCTCCAGAATAAACCTTCAAATTCATGGAGATAAGGAACACAGACCAAACATGAGATGCCTAAAGATGACAACAGAAATAATTTCAACATGCACACACAACATGAACTGCTTTCCTATCAATACCAGTGACAAAATATTCTGTGGCTTCAAAGGCATGTAGGCAAATGCTTAAACAAACTTTTCAAATTTGAAAAAGAGGGCTTCCTGGCAGTTGAAAACCAAAAAAGCGACAAATGTAGCACCCTCAGTTATCTAGTATCTTTTCAAGGTCTTGTCTCTTGTAAGTGAATTTTGCTAAGTGAATTTGCTATCTCTAATTTTTTTACTTTCATTCAGTAGATTGCCAAACAAGCTAGAGTGATTCAAACTAAGTTTAAAGTTAGGCATTTAGCTAATCAAAACAGTACATCCAATTTCAGGTAAATGAAAAGAGACAAGACCAAAGCAGCCCTAACCTCTGCATCTCCTGAAAGACTGCCTTTATTCAAATGGTTGGGAAGCCAGAAGTGGGTGGAATGTATTCGTATCTCAGACCAACAGCAGCATTTAAAATTAATTCCAGTCAAGAAAAGCATCTGCAAGATGTTCACAAGAAGGAGAAACAGGCCCACTGCTATACTACCACAGCACAAAGGAAAGTTCTGCAATCATAATAACAGGTTAATTTCTTTATCAACGGTAGAGTTTGACCCTCATACTATGTCCCACTCAGCCTCCCCAATAATCAGATTCCCTTACCATGACAAACTACTTCACTGCTTCAATCAAGGCCTGCCCATCCAGGACACCAGTTATTACCTACACCTGCACTTCACTGAGGCTGGAAGTGCTAAATCACTACAATTAAGTTACAGGAAAGATGAGCTCTCAGAAATTATTAATCGCTGCAGTTTATATTGAAGCAGGATTAGTTGTCCAGGAGGTAGGTTTTTTTTTTTTCCCCAACACTGAACTCCAGGGCAAAGCCAAGGACAAAGCAGCAGCGCCTGGAAAAGTGCATGCCGCGGAGGACTGGATAGAGAAGTTAAGTGGCACTTAATTAGGAACAAAACTAATTAGTGCAACAGCACTGATCTCGACACGTGGGGAGAGGAGGCCTCCGAGCCCGCGGAACCTCGGGCAGAGCGGGGCCCAGCTACAGCTGGAGGCGCTCCCGGGGCTTCCTCGGGGCGCGGGGCCGGCAGCAGCTCCCTCCCCCGGCTCTAAGCGCCTCAGAGGCCCGCCGGCACCGCCGAGCGCCGGGCCGGGCGGGGCGGGGCTGAGCCAGGCCAGGCCAGGCCAGGCCAGGCCGGGCCGGGCGGGGCGGGGCTGAGCCAGGCCAGGCCAGGCCAGGCCAGGCCAGGCCGAGCCGAGCCAGGCCAGGCCAGGCCGTATCCCACGGCATCCACTCGGCCGCACCGCCGCCCCTGCCCAGCTCCCCGGGCTTCTCCCGTCCCCATTACCTGGGGGTCCCGTGAGAAACACGTGCTTGGACATGACACGCTCCGCACTCCGCCCTCACCCCCGCCCGGCGCTCCGCTCCGCCCCCAGCCCGGCCCAGCTCCGCTCGGCCCCTCTCGGCCCCGCTCCGCCCCGGGAGGCGGTGCCCGAGCCTCGGGCACGACGGGCCCTACCCGGCTGAGGCCGCCTCGCAGGCGGGGCCAGGCAGGGATTGCTGCCGTGGCGTATAGGAGGCGCTTGTCGCTAGTTAAGGTTGGGGAGGAGGCGAAGAAAGGCAATTAGTTTCCTAGTTGAGGGCCAGCGTCTTCTTTATCCAGGTTTCACATGTCTGAGTATTTTAGTACAATAATAGAATGTTAAGGTATGGGAATAGACTTTAAAGATCAGTCCCACGGGCAGACACATGGGCATGGGGCAGAGGCACCTCCCACTAGACCCGGTTGCTCAAGGCCTCATCCAGCCCAGCCTTGAGCACTGCCAGGGCTGGGGCATCCACGGCCACCTTGGGTAACCTGCTCCAGTGCCTCACCACCCTCATAGTGAAAAAAGTATTTTTAACATCGAACCTAAATTTTCCCTCATTGTACCCATTGCTGCTTGTCCTATCACTACGTTCCTGACAGAGTCCATCTCTGGCATCACTGTGTGCCCCTTCAGATGCTGGAAGGTTGCTGTAGGTCTCCACACAACCTTCTCCAAGCTGAACAGACACAACTTTTGCAGCTTGCCTTGGTAGGGAAGGTGTTCCAGTCATTTTACCAACTTTGTGGCCTGTTCTGGACTTGGTCTGTTAGTTCTATGTTCTTCTTTTGGTGGGGCCACCAGAACTATATCAGAGGAGACTCCTCCAGATGGAGTCTCAAAAATGCAGAGATATAATAATAAACTCTCTCTAGAGCTTTTTACCTGTTTCAAATAAGCAATGTGCTCCAGCATGTAGCAAACCAGCAAATTAAAAGATGAAATGTTTGTCTGATACCTCAATGCAGACAGCAAATCTAACTAGGGGGGTTGGTATACAACCAGGGGATTGCTACAAAGCTAAACAAATTGAGAAGGTCTGGCAGGTTTAACAAAGATGCTGATAGACATCTGCATCCCAAAATATCATATGCTCATGGCCTCCTTACTTGTTTAGGCTTTCCTGATGGGGAGCAGTAAAGGAGCAGGGAAAAGGATTTTTTTGTGGAGGACTATGGTGCACAGGCTTCTGTCTGGGTGAAGTGATGCCTTAACACCAAGAAATACTGATTCCTGCCTGGCCATAAGCACCAAAGTGATTACCCAAAAATACTGGGCTATGAAAGGGATACATTCCAATTTCTGTTCACCTCACTAGAATGGATCACTTCAGGTTCAGCCCATCATTATCACACTTTCATTTTAAGTAATTTCTCAAGGAGTCAAAGGTTTTTCATCATTTTCACAAAGATAATGAGTATCCCTGTCAGCCAGATGAAATGTGCGCATCAGCAGGTAGAGTGCACCTCACAGTAGATGGATATTTCCATAAATTGAAAAAAATATTTTTGACCACTCTTCCTTGTATTCTTTTATATTCTTAGAAGGAGTGACTGCATGTGGAACATGTTTCATGCTTAAATACTTAATTAGAAAAACTTGAGAACTCTGGCATGACTCTTGGGAGGTCGGAGGTTCAAGAAGTAACAAAGACAGCTTCCCTTGTCATCTAAAATGAAAACTGCATTTTCATAGTTTACATTCCAGTACTGTGTTCTGGCAGCTTTTTAGGATCAGTGAAATTGTGATGTTAACTTACAGCTTCTTGTTTGTCAGGAATCTTTAATCTAAAGAGAGAACTGCAGAGAAGAACTGCATGTTTGAATGGACTATTAACACAAGAACAACACTTGACAACTGGCTACTTCACCCTTGCCCTGAACTTCCTGTGCAGAGCTTAGCGTGATTGATTTTACAGGTAGGTTTTCTGTATAATATTAAACTAAATCAGTATGTTGGCTGGTCTCCCAGGCAGGCCAAATAAAGAGACCCAGACAATGTTGTTTTGTTCGATGTTCAGTTTTACTAGGTTTTACAAATCAACCCTTTTTTTTTCAGAAGTGCATGTGGAGAATTTTAAGGCTATCACTACTGTTTGACAGATCCCTTGTTTTCTGGTATTCTTAGAACTCTTTCATCCCATTTTCCGAAACAGGACTCTCAGATTTATTTCACTGTGCGGTTAAGTCTTTCTCTTGCAAACAGATGTGTAAGCAAAGTAGTTGCAGCACCAAGCATTGTAATTTCTACTATAAAATGTTTTCTCTTTCTGAATACTCTGTCTAGGTTGAAGTCATTTAAAAGCATGAAAGCTATGAAGTAGTTATGCCAGTTGTGCTTTTGTAGAGTTTGCTGTTAAGAGGACCTTATGTTTGCTACATTAACTGGATTTTTTATGCATATTTTGGCCAAGATTTACTATTTAAGCTTGTTCCCTTTGATATATGACTGCATAGAAGATGAAGGTTGTTCAAGAAGTACAAGTTGCAGGGCTCAAGTTCTCTGTAGCTGTATGCTGGAACCAGTAGTGTCTGGAGTCAGCCTGTGTGCTTTCCTGATCCTGGGTTTTTTGCATTCTTGGATGGAAATGGTTAGCTGAAATAAGCAGAAGAGCACATACCCTAGCAGTGTAGATAACTCTAAAAGAAAATAGGTAAGTGGGTTTTATTCCTTTCAGGGTGAGGAGAGAAGAACACAGCTTTTCTTCTTCCAGTACAGGTAACTTAATTAGTAGTAATTTATTCCTAAGAAGTTTCCAGTTCAAAATATTTTCCTGACCAAGTACCTATACTATTTTTTTTTGCTAAGTGAGGGTGAGTAAAATTCAATTCATGCAGAATTGAATTGTGTGATTGGGCAATGCTATGAAAGAAGTATTTACAAAAAGACCCCCTTGCAGTTCCAGGGTCAGGCTGTCATTCTGGGTGATCTGTGGAGACCTTGGAAGGAGCTGTCAATCATTTTTATGAACTGTTAGCTAAGCCTGGGGAAGCTTGCATTTATTGCTGGATGTTGACTAAAAAAAAATTGGATAGAGTCCTAGATCTTTATGTTGAATGGGGTAAAATTAATTAACTGCAAGTTTCCAGACCAGTGACTAAGAAAAGAGGCCATTTATGATATTTATGGTATTCCCTAGAGTAGAAGCTGGAAGGAATGAGAGCGTAATCTACCATCTCTGACCTGCCTCAGTAGGCAGGAGTTTACATTTCAGCACTCTGTCTTGGGTTAGGCACAGTACCTCATTACAGGTTCAGCCCTTGGTTTATCTGGTGTTAGGTTTTGGAGTTTTTCCTCTGATGGAAGAGAGAATGGTCAAGTTGGAACCCTTTTCTTTCACTCCAGTAGAACTTGTCTTCTTGGTTCACAGTACCTCAAGTTGGTACAGCATTTTGCTTGCATCAGGAGAGGGAGGTATGCTTTCTAAAAAAAAAACAAACTACTTTGTATTAGAGAGTTCCTTATTTTGTCCTTGTTCTCCCCTGCAGAGAATTCTCCTGCTTGCAGATAGTGGGTCTGGCTGTATACCACTGGCTGTCTAATCACATTAGTGATTGTATTTCAGAGTTGACTTCTGTTTGGCCTGTGGAGCAATCATGGCATCAGCAGGTGTCTGAGAGAAAGCACTGAGCATCTACAGCCTGACCATCTTTAATCTTAAACTTCACAGAGAGATAAGCCATTAGCTACATGCAGAGCTTCCTCTAGATGAAAACTATGGTCTTCCTTCTACCAGAGATTTACCTATAGAGCTTTTTTGTGTCGATTATGCAGTAGAAATCTTTATGTTCATTCCATCAATTGTTGTGTCCCCCAAAACAGAAAAAAATTCTGAAAGTATTTCCCGAAAATAGAAATAAATAATAGAAATAAATATATCAAATGTTATAAATAAATATATGGTAGTTGGTGATTATTTGTGAAATTGAGTTTACTATTGTAAGTAACAGAGAGCAACCAGCATTGAAATAATGTAGTTCTCTGTCTCTCCCAGTACAGCATGTTGAACCTTCTGGGCAATTGCAGGCAGAGGGGAAAGAGTAAAAATCCAATAAGTTGCTGTAGGTTTTTCAAAACATACGTGTCTGGATATAAGAGGAGGACCCTTTTAATGGGTTATGCAGCATAAACAGAATCCTTTTTAGGCAGGAGAAAAGTCACGTAGAGCTCAATCCATAGGAAGCCAGTTTCATTGTTTCCATTCTCAATGAAATATCTTGCTGGTTTGCTCTTCTGGGCTGCCACCTTCTACTTCTTGAAAAAGATAAAGAGTCTTCCTGAAACTGCATGACATCTTGTATGGTATTCTTACCGTTTTACTGGAAATGCATTCAATTTGAAAAAAAAAAATGCAGCCTAGTTTGTTATGGGATGATAAAACCAAATTTTCTGTGATAATATGTTATTTTCACAGGGATACTGACCTGAAAATTTCAAATTTCAACTGAATTCTGTCAGGTATCAATGGAATACTCTGTAGTTGAGTAAGAACATTGCAAAAGAGAATAAATTGAATTGTATTGCTAAATTTTTCATTGCTGTTTTTAAGGTGTAACAGTTTTGTCAAGCAAATGTCATTCTTGTGGTTGTTGATTTAAATAGGCAGGAACATAAATGAATTTCTATACTACTTTGAGTGACAGTTGGCAGAGTACAAACTGCTTTACTAAAAAGTACATTAGGCAATAGTTCCTACAAGACAGTTCAGAGAAACCATAGGATGAAGTGAATTCAAAAATCACAAGAAAGTGAAGCAAATAATCTCCCATCGGGGCTGAGAGAATACAAGGAAAAGCTAAGCCAGTTTGACAAGCTGTAGATATAAATGTATTTCGAAGAATATAATTTTCAGATTTCTACTCCTCAGAGATGCTCCTTTTTTGGGTAACAGTTTTTATACCTAAAAGATGCAGTGGCAAGCCCCGCAGTATACTGACAGACAAGTGTAAGGATGTTTCAGGAAGGCCTTCATGTCTTTGGCACCTACATGGAAGAGGGCAAATATGGAGTGATCATGTAGGCTGTTAGCAGTTGCTGAGTCTGGTAGCTTGTGAGAGGAAAGTCTACTCTAGCTCCATGCTTCCTCCTTCAGCCAGTAGT